AGATGCGCAGAGGAAGAAGACAAAATTTTAAGAAATAATACGTGGGAATTGACTGAGCTTCGTAAAGGACATAAAACAATTAGTCTGAAGTGGATATACAAGACAAAATTGAATGAGAATGGCAAAGTCGATAGGTACAAAGCACGCTTAGTAGTTAAAGGCTATAAACAAGAGTTTGGTGTGGACTATAGAGAAGTATTTACGCCAGTTGTACGACTTGATACCATCAGGTTGGTGATTGCATTGATTGCTCAAAATTTGTGGCCTATTTTTCAATTAGATGTCAAATCGGCTTTCTTGCATGGAGACTTGGATGAACAGGTATTTGTTGATTAACTCCTCCGTTATGTTAAGATTGGAGAAAAACATAAAGTGTATAAATTAAAAAAGGCACTATATGGATTAAAACAAGCTCCAAGAGCTTTTTATAGTCATATGATGCTTCTTTTTTGAAGGAGGGATTTAAAAAATGTCCATATGAACATACACTTTTTACAAATATTAATGACAAGGGAAGAATGCTCATTGTTTGTTTATATGTAGATGATTTAATTTATACTAGAAATGATAGTTCCATGTTTGAAAGTTTTAAGAAGTCCATGAAGTGGAATTTGATATGACTGATATGGGAATGATGCAGCATTATTTCCTTGGCATTGAGGTAGTTCAATCAGCTGGTGGAATTTTATTTCACAGAAAAAGTATACACAAGAGATATTGGACAGGTTTCAAATGAAGAATTGTAATTCTGTCAGTAGTCCCACTGAGCCTGGTTTGAAACTAATTAAAGAGCCTGGAGGCAGAAGAGTTGACAATACTCTTTACAAACAAATAGTGAGAAATTTGATGTATTTAACAGCCACAGGGCCTGATATAATGTGTGTTGTAAATCTTATCAGCAGATACATGGAAAGTCCAAGGGAGATACATCTTCTTGCTGCAAAAAGAATCTTTCCATACCTGCAAGGATCTGCAAATTATGGTTTATTCTACAAAAAAGGAGAACATACAGACTTAATTGGATTTACTGACGGTGATTATGCTGGAGATTTGGATGATAGGAAGAGTACGTCAGGTTATGTTTTCATGATAGGTTCAGGAGCAATTTCATGGTCATCAAGGAAATAGCCAATTGTGACTTTGTTAACTACAAAAGCTGAATTTGTAGCAGCAACAGCATGTGCCAGTCAAACAATTTGGTTGCGCAAGGTTCTTGAAGAAATTCATTTCCAGCAAAAAGGATCAACCCCATTTATTGTGACAGCAGTTCATCAATAAAACTCTCCAAAAATCTTGTTCTCCATTGGAGAAATAACCATATTGATGTGAAGTTTCATTTTCTAAGAAATTTCACAAAAGATGGATTAATCGATCTTATCTACCGCAGAAGTGAAAATCAAGTTGGTCAGGTATTCACCAAGTCCCTCAAGTCGGCATCATTTGTGAAGTTCAGAGAATTACTTGGTGTCTGCTCTTTTGAAGAACAATGCTGCTTAAAAGGTGACCAGTAGCTAGTATATATTAAACTGAAAATCTATTTCTCAATTTAAGGGAGGGATAGTTGAATATTAGTATTTATTTATTTATGTTTATTCTACTTCAGTTGTCCTAATTTTTAGTATATGTAGTAATTTGTTGCTTAAAAGGTGCAGACTTTTTGGAATATATTTGAGTAACAATAGGAGTTAATGAGCTCTTATCCTATTTTAATGGTTTTTACCGTTAGAAAAACTCTATTTGAAGAGCTCAGCTACTGAATGCAAGGTGTGAGATTCCAGTCTATTAAATGAAGTTTAAGATTCATTCACTCTGCTTTAGCTCATATCAGCCTCTGTTTTTTGCTTCAGTTTTATCAAGAGTAAGAAATAACTCATAAGCATAGTAGCATAATCCAGTCAATTAAGAGAAGGCTGTTATGATGTGGACTTACCCACCATAGGGGAAATACAAGTTGAATGTTAATGCCTCAATCAAGAATAGAGTTGTGGGGTTAAGCTTTATCTGCAGAGAGTGGATTGGTAAAGTAGTCTTTTAGGTCGGAGACATGTCTTAGTACGACTATTAGTAGAAATTGTAGAAGCTCTTGCTTTAGGGCTATAAGTTGTTATATCTATGACAATTATGGATCTTTTAGTAGACATTGACTCTTCTCTTCTTTCCTCGGTGTTATCAACTATGCGATAGTCTTTATATGAGATTGGATTGGTGACAAGATATTTGGTCTTTACTTTCGTTGATAGTAAATGGACTCATAAAATTTGTAATCAGATTGCTTATACTTGGATTATTGAGACAACTTTGAAGATCAAAGCTAATATACTAATTGTTTGACTTTTCTATTTCTGTAGGATGGTTGTTAATTTATGCTATGATGTTTTTTTTTTTCATGGCCCAGAAACAATTTTTTGCTTGTCTCTGCGAACTATCTCATTATCCGACCTGCATTTTTCTTCTTTGTCGATATTAATGTGCTATTATACATGTTATTGTATTGAAGTTATTTCTATTATGAGTTAATTGACTTCCGGAGGGAGTTCATTTAAGGGAGGAAATATGGCATCCAAAGCTGCAACACCACCATACCCTAGTGCAGCTAGAAATTGCTGATTCTCCATGTTATCAGCAGTACACTGCCTCTCTCAAATGTAAGCTTCCTTTATTTGAGTGCTTAGTTCTTTGTTTATACTTTGTTTCCCTAAAATTTGTAGATTGTAGCGGTAGTTCATGTTCTGCTGGATTTACAAATTTATTGTTTCATCTTTTGCTTGATTTTATTGTTGCTTTGTCCATCTTATCACCTGCTTTGTAGTCAAATTTAATAATCTGTACTGATGTTCTTTTTTCCTCCTCTACTTGCTGCTTAATGTTCAAGTTGTATGGTTTGAGTAGATATTGACGGGGTAATTTAGCTATATTCAAATATAGGGAAATGGAGTCAAATTCAATTGATGCATTTGGTATTAGAGCCAAAATTACATATATTCCATAACCTTTTCCCTGGTGTAACTAGAGACCTTGTAATAATCTGCCTTCAATAAAAAATGTGCTTTGTCTTGCTGATTATTAACTGCTAACATTGAGTTTAAACTTACGAAAACATGGGTGTAAATTTTAAGTGTCATATGCTGTATGAGCACTTTGCATCTGACCAGAGATAAAAGGGAAAGAAAATGTTGCAACCTTGGCAGAAGCATAATGATAAAGAACTTCACAATCACCTGAAGTGAACTTGCAAATATGATCTTTATTATGTTGGAATGCACTTAAGTTGTATTCTTTCATATATGGATGAGACTACAGCTTTATATTTTTCTTAGACTGGGTACAGCTGTAACGGAATGGTTGTAAGACGTGGAATGTGTTCTGTTTGTATTTTATATTATTATAAGAATTGTCCTTCCTTCCCAATGTTAGTTTTTCCTGGTCTCCATAGTGCATCACCTCTGATGCTTTTTTTAGAATTGAGCTGAACTTTCTCTTTTGTTAATAATAATTCAGCAAATAGAGGTTGGCATAGGTTGACTGCTGGCTTCCTAGTGGAAGGTGAAGCACCCTAATTTTGTGGACTGAACATTTTGGGTTGGTGTTTCCTTGAGTTTACTTGAGTGAAAGAGCATTTGATATACTAATTTGATTCATATAAACTTAAATGTCCCGTAAGGAGACTCAGGTTTAGTGGTTACTAGTGAGATTTTGCTTTTAGTACTGTCTTCTTTTTTCAGATAACATTTGATTTTTCTTTATCGTTCTGAGCCCTTTAGTTTTGGTTTATCTCATTATGTGCTTCCCAATTTATTGTCAATAATGAACTATGTTTGAATCTTGTGCTGTGGTTTAGGTAGAGTTGCCATTATTATGAGTTCTATGACTAATGAAGTGGTGGGAAAACAAATCTTTTCATGGCCAACAAAAAATATGCTAAAACTTTGAATATGTCAAACAGCATATGCTCATAGTCTGCCAGTTAAGAATACTTAATCTGATATGGTGGACTTTTGTCTTGAAACTTGACACCTTTCATGTCTTGAAGAATTTGGATCAGACAAAAGTAAATTTCAAGACCATTTTGATATTTACAAGGACCGCAAGAAAAAAGAGGTATTTGGAATTTCTTCGAAATTTTTGAAGCTAGCCAGTCTTATCCATTTAAATATCTTGTTGATACATGTGTTTCCTGCTTGTATCATGCCTTGATGCAACAACCTCTGATATTGAGTTCCATAATCTTTTCTCCTTTAAGCTATTGTTTATTTATTTTTTCTGGTGTTTGCCTAGAGGGAAGCTCGATTGGAACGTAACAAGAGTCAATCTTTCTTTTCATGGAATTGGATTGGAGTTCTTTCTTGGGTGTCTCCTACTTCTCGCCAAACCACATGGGTGGTAGGATGCTGATTCCTCTTCTCCTATGGGATTAGAATTATAGACCCAACAGATTTCTACAAACTAGGCACTGTGGTTTGACAATGAAGAAATAGAAAAATTATATCTTGCAGGATCCGCATAATGATCTTATATTTGTCATATTAGTGCTTTCCGAATCTTCTTTTTTCCTGGTAATTGGAATGAGAAAAATTATTGAAGAACTATTTGAAACATCGAAGTCCTAGCCAGGCAAAATCATGTTTTGAATAACTAAAATATGTAACTATATTAGATTTCAATGATAATCAGTGCCCTCAAATGGAGTTTGGTGCCCTGTTGAAGTTCCTAAACCATTCTAGTGACAAGCGATTGATGTAATGAAGCTGAGAATTCTATTGTTTGATTGACTAAAGTGTATACAGTTCTTGATATATTGAAGTTGAATTTTTTTTTTTGTTTGTTCTCACTCACCTTCACCATCATTTTGACTTTTTTTAAGAGTGAGAATTATATTCCCATGTTAATACAAACCATATCTTAATTCTGTATGTTAAAAGTGAACCATATCCTACTCTGTATATTAAGAATAATAAAAGACGAAAACTATAAATTAGACGAGAATAAAATGAGAATTGAATCGACCACAACCCAATGGCTTTTTAAGTTTCACATATATTGTATTACAATGGAAAAACCAAAACAGGATCCCAAGTTACGGATATAAGAGTTCAAGTGGCAGACACAAAATATAATGAACAGTTATCAAGTTGTCTAATATATACTCTTTCTAAAATCGTAACTATGAAGTTAAATATAATACAACTATACAGACAGAACAGAATCAACATAACTTACCATGAACCTAAACCATCAAAATTTCATTTAAAAACCTAATCAAAGCTACTGTTTATGGTTAAAAGAAGTGTAGATTTTATCTTGGTTAGCCTGACTACCACATCCTTCATGTCAATTCTTTTCTCTGGCAATTGTTCACTACACTCGAAACCCAACTCCATGATTGAACAAAGAACACTCCGCATTGCGGGCATATCCTCTATCCCCATTAAACCACGATCAACAATTTTGAGTATCTTATCTGGATATGATGAAGCCTTCACCCATTTTCTCAAACACATTTCTTCATCAAACATCGAGTCTGTTGGTCTTCTTCTTGTAATTGTCTCTAGCAACATGATTCCGTAACTGTAAACATCTCCTTTGCTGGATACTCTGCCTTCACTTCCGTACTCTGTTAACCATTATATGGATTCTTGTAATTATAGAAGAATAAAACCAATCATAAGCTTAGATATGTTGATGAAAATTATACATGTGGAAAATTTCTGGTGTCTTGATACTGGAACACCAAGTTCATATCAGTTTTTTATGGATTAATGATTACATTAGATGAAAAGATTTAGGATAGTGTTACTGTAACTTTGAGCATATGGTGTCTAAGCCATTAGATTATAGTTTTTTAAAAATTGTTATTCTTTAGTTTAACCTCTAATGATTAGAAACTTTGAACTTACAATTCCTGTTGTAAGATTGAGTTTTTTGTAACATTCTCTATGAATTTATGCCTGATTATGAGAAAATTGAAAAATAATAACATATAGTCACCTGGTGCAATATAGCCAA